TATATATAGAATTTATATATATTTACTATTACTTGTAGCAATAATAATTTAGCTAAATAGATCTGGAAATCATTTTGTTGAATCATTTAAATAATTATGTAGAAATCTCAAACATGATTAATGCTGTAAAAAGTTTCCCAGATAATACTTATTGATTTACGTTTTGTCTATTTCTAATATATTTTCAAATCGAGTATCGTTTCGTGAACTGCATTTAGATTTATAGAAAAATGTTTTCGCATTGGTCTAACATCACAAAAGTGGCATTCATGAAATTTGCATTTGACACGCGTGACGATGCTGAAGTGTGGATGCGTGAGTCGCATGAATGATTATCCAACGACGTGTTTATTATGCAACACAATTCATTCTTTCACAAACTATTTTTATACGCTTATTTACGAAAATCGGGCGAAAATCGGGGAAAATTAACGTATACAATCAATTAATAAAGATTTGTTTTTATATTAATAGTGAAAGTATATAAAAAAAGTATTTAAAAAGAAGTAAATAAAGAAAAATATTTCGTGTAGTATAAACAATGTTACACAAAAAAATTTATGTTTCCTATACCTATAGAAATTGCGATACAATATCGTTGCTGAATTAATAATCAAAACTCTTTTATTTTCATGTAGAACAAGAATACAATCAGAATACAAAAATATCTTGTCATAATTAATAAACTCTTGCGGGAAATAAAAGAATTTAAAAAATATAATTAAAATATAATTTAAAATATAATTTAAAAATTAAAAAATTTCCTTTATTTTAATAAATGCATGAATTATGATAAAAAGTTATTTCGCATACAATTGTTTAATGCGCCGCTGCGATGATTGTGATGGAGGATCTCGTGTTGGGAGCGCCGCGAATATTGATCTTGCCTTTGGATGATCCTAAAGTCGTTGGTTCATCACATGCTACCGCGTAACTACCATTGTCATTCACTACACTAGTGTAATGAAGAATTCCTACATAAGAAAGAATATTTAAGATTGTTATTGCTTATCAGGAATTGTACTTAATGTATTGTAGTATTAAAAAATAGTCTTTAATTATAAATTAATATAAACGCTAATTATTTTATAATTGATTACATGTTCTTTGCTTTTCTCTTATTAGCAGCATATTCTTTTGTAATTTTCAATGTCGAATCAAATCAAATTATACAAACTTGTTAATGTTTCCTCACCATTAGTGACAGACAACGTTAGGGTAGTTGACTGAACTCTGTCTGTTGGATTGTTAAACACGATAACTCGGCGAAAGACTGTTTCGTCGGCATATCTTCTTCCAATTTCAATATTTCCGATGAATCCAGTGGCCGCATATGTCTCGGGTAGAAGATTTTTCTGTACAAACATAGCATAAGATATAGAACTTTCTTAATGATAGAAATTTTTTTCTTAATAGAAATATTCTTCGCAAAAATATTTTTCTTCTACATATATACATACAATAGTATATAATATACTATTTATGATTGGTTGTTTCATCTCTCGATACATTTTACGCGTTAGGTAAAGCTAACAATTCACGCAATGATTGAATACTTATTTTGCTACTTATCTAACTCATAAAATTTATCAAAAGGTGGAATGACCGGCCCTTATCTTAATATTTAGACGCATAATACTTAGATTTTAGAACTTTTATACAATCAATCCCTAGATTATCTTATTAAAAATCGATAAAAATCGATAACAACGTTTATGAGAATAAAGATCCAATTGACGATATACATTGTTTTGCTCTATATTACAAAATATTATAAAATGTCATAAAATGTTATTACGAAGTATCTTAATGTTTACATTAAGTATTAAAAATAAGAAATAACAGATTATTTTAGTAAAAGTCTAGATTCTTCAAAGAAACGGATATAAATATTAATGTGTGCCTTTACTGTTAATGAAGATTAAATTTAATTTTAGGTAATCTACAATTTTTCTATCAGAATTCAGAATTTTATTTATAATTATCGTGTTCTATTTGTTCATAAACAAATGTGCTGTGTAGTTTAGCGAAAAATATTTGAAAAATCAAAAGTACACATATATTATAAATGCTAAAGTTGGGAAAGTTACATTATAAAAATAACTTGTTACACACCATTATCATTATAAAAAAAATAAGTCATTACAATTTCCATTATTTTTTCACCGAATTTTATAAACTTTTTTTTAGAATGGACACGAGCTAAAATTTTAAATACTTCAGCGAAAATTGTTTTTTTTTCTGTGAATATCATATAATTCCATTTTGAAATTTGTCACAATCAACTAAACTAATGCCCATTTCTGATGTAAATTAACTTTAATTTTAATTTATTTTATTTTTCATTTTGTAATTCTAAGAATAAAAAAATAAACAGTAATCTTAAATCGAAATTAAAGTTAATCTATAATACATTAATGGAAACGCGGACATAAAGGAATTGTTTTAATCTGACTATTTATATACATATATATTTGTGAGTTTTTATCTATTCATAAAACATGATAAATTATTAACTCACCAGCGCCGTTTTTGGCACAATATCCTTCTCGGTGAAGTCAATCTGGACATTCTTCGTTTGTGATAGATCGACAGCAGCAACCGTTTGCAGGAGGCCAAGAATCGCGAGCGCAAGAACAACGATCGGACGTGACATTTCGATACGGTTTGATCGGATCTCAAGGTGTGTCCGTTTCTTTTATAGGGCAGCTCGAGTGATGCGTCAAGGTGAGCCTGCCTTATCTGCACAGTTCTTTTATGATTTCTCCATTGCTGGTGGCCCTACCGTGTTTCTTCCTCGCGGAATACAAATAAGAAAAACGCGACTGCGATAAAGGCACGTATATGCCGTCCGTCTGGTTCGCAGGGCCATGCGTGGTCGACGAATTCTCGCGGATGACCCTCGAAAAGAATATCGTCCGTCCGATTGGTATTCGAGACAAGCACTTGATGCCCCAGGTGCCAGTAATAAAAAAACACTGTTTTTTTTTGTTGGAGTTCTTACTTATGAAAGCTATCCGCATGACTACGGCGAAAATAGTGTAACTTTTAAATTTTCGACCAGTTTTTCGAACTTACAAGCTTATTGTTTTCGAAGAGACTTTTTTAGATTACTTTTTCCTCTGATCTTAAAGATTGAATATATAAGAAGAAATATATAAGAAAAATATATAAAAAAACATAAAAATTTGCATTTTTAGATGGGAATAATAATAATGTTATGCAATTTGTAATAAATTTAATAACTGCTTTTTGTTATTTATATACAATTTATATAATATACATGTAATATATAAAATGATTGGATATAACAGGGCAATAGGACTCAAGCACGATAATTCTTGTGCAAATCAAATGGTTATCAAAATAATTAATCCGCTTACATGTTTCGGCTCACTTTTAAGCCATCTTCAGAGACAGTATGATGTTTGTAATTACAAAAAAAAATTTTTTTCTTACAAACTAATTCATTTCAGTGAACCACCTCCACTTATTAACGGAAATTATATAAAAACAAACTCTAACAACAATCTAAAATGTATTAAAATTATTAAAAGATAAATTTTTTTTGGAGGAGGAAGCAAAAACGATTTATTATAAAACAATAAAAGGTAGCTCACTAAAATACATAATATATAATATAATATAG